CGGCACAGGTCCTGGATGCGAGCAGAAGCTGCACCGTGGTCAGCGCGCTGATGCTGGCGTCTCATTTGCTCAACATGTCTCGGCCTTCCATGGACTGTCATGCCTTCTGTTGTGGCCGTTGCTAGGGTTGGAATGCTCGATACCGAAGAGGATTTCATGCCTTGCTTCTGTTACGGCAAAATGGAAAGAGAGCCATTCTGAGAGAGTAGCAGTCGAAGTTTTCTCCTGGTACCGACCCAAGGTACTACAGCAGCATGTCTCGGCAGTGGCAATCATGAATTTCTACTCTCCGTAGCACTGCCAGTTCTCTTTGAATCATTTGTTTCTTTCGGTCAGCTGTCGTCGAGCCCTTGTTGAACATCCGGAGTTCGAGTTTGCTGAATGTGACCATGTGCTCTTTTCAGTCGCTTCGTTCCTCCCACGTCGCTTCAAATTGAAGCGAATGGAAAGGTCGCACTAGCATAGGCTCACAGACTACCATGTTGTTTTGTTCGGGTGTTTTGCCAACTCGGTGGTCGGGTTGACCCATAGAATTTATGCCAACCAGGTCCGGAGACAAGCAGACATATCTGGACGAGATCAAGGAGGAGCACAGTTGGAGCGGGGCCTCTGCTGGGAGAGATCGTGGGTTGCGAAGTGTGACGATGTCAGGAATACGCCGAAATCAGGGAGGAATACTACGCGACTTTGATCGACAAGAAGTGGAAGTCGCTGAAGGAGGCCCTCGAAAACAGACTTGACCCTCAGGCTTGGGCCAGAGCATGCCAGCGCATGTTGCCTGCGGTTTCAGGCGCAGTCCAAGAAGCCTCAGCTGGACTGGGGCAAGCTGCCACCGAAGCCGTCATCCTGGCACTTTTGTCTCTGACGGCCCTCGTCCGGGGACCTTGCTACTGCGGTGTGTCCTTGCAGCACATCGTACCGCAATGAGTCTGCGCGACCACGAGCCAGGAAGTTCGTTGGCAACTTGTGCATCAAGGTCTGCCGCAGTAGAAAGCCCTTCGTGATTGAGGCTTTGCTGCTAGAGCAACTGAGGACCACCCCATCGATGAAATCATGGAGTACATCGACTGGACGCCCTTCTTCCAGGTCTCCTGATCCGGCTGAAGCTGGCACGTTCGCCATGTTAGCCTGGCCGAACAGTGTGCTGGGGAGGTGTACCAACTTCGCGGCAAGTACCCCAATCGCGACTACCCTCACATCTTCAAGGCAGCGCAGTACTCCGGCATGATCGCTGTGTAGCCGTGCAGCGTAGCCATGCGTAGCCTCTTTGCATCGGCTCGTGGCGAGGATGAGCGCGTGGGCCCTGAAGCGAAGAAGCTCTTTCAAGAGGCGAAGGACATGTTGGCACGAGCCTCTGCTTTGTTGTTCTTGCAGATGACCGCAATCTGCCTGCAAGCTACCTTCACTGCCGTGCTGAAGGCCTGGATTGTCAAAGAGGGCTTGCTGAAGTGCTCAGGCGTGGACAAGTATGTGGCTGAGCAGAGCTGGCTGTAAGACTGTGAGGCGTCGTGGGAATCCATCCGGCCAATGCGGTCGGTGATGACATCGAGGCCGCTCGGGTGCATGTCAGGTCCCACCGAGCTGCCGTGTCATGCAAGGTCTACACGAGCGAGGACCGTGACACCGTGAAGTGCAAGTTCTACGGGCTGCGCCAGCAGTTGGACATGGGCGAGTCCACATACTGGTGCCAGGGTGACTTCATTGCCCCGAAGGACTGCCCGGCAAAACTCGTAGCCGAACTAGCCAAGCGAGTGTTTGCCTGCTTCAGACCGGTTACTGTTGCAGGGCTACTCCGACTACATCTCCGCTTTTGCCTGCACGGGCGGCATCGGATGCCACGAGCAACGCCAGAAGTTCGAGGAGAAGGGCGAGATCGATCAGGCAATCCTCCTGGAGGCTGTCAACATGCCTGGATGATTGAATGATGCTGGGTGCACATTGTCGGGCTCTTGTCAGGCCGTGGCAGACCGGCTTGCGGAGGCCTTCGCCGAGCTGATCCACCTGAAGATCCGAAGCTCGGAGAAAGCTGGGTTTCGGATGCTGACGCGGAACGGTTTTTGAAGTGCCCCCCCCCCACCACCCCTCGCCCTCCCGGGGCTTATAGGAGCCCGTGGTGCCGGCTCCCAACCAACGCCCCATCGTGAGAGCATGATAGCTTAAGGAACCACGCTGTGGGGCTTTTCGCCGGGCTCCCGACCGTGCAAGCTGATTCCTCGTGACCTCGATGCTTCCCCGCCAAGGCCTGATGAGAAGCTGTCCTTGGAGGACATGCTGAAGGTGAAATACCAGGGCATTCGCCCTGCGCCGGGTTATCCTTCCCAGCCCGACCACAGAGAGAAGAAGACGCTGCCGCTGGGCTGCGAACCTTTACTCATCTTACTGGGACCATAGTCGATTGCGGTTGCCGCAAGTGCTCATGACGGAGGTGGGACCTTCTGGAGGTGGACAGGCGCGGGCAGATGCGGGCAGCGCGGGCCGAGCAGGGGTTGGGAACACGATGGAGACATCGAACGCGTCGCAGGCTGACGGATGAGAAGCTGTCCCTGACCGAGTCCTACATGATGATGTCCGGCTCTTATACAAATAGCTTGGCAATTCCGCAGGCATCCTAGTTGCATTTCGACAGGCCAAGCGCCTCTGTGTCGGCTCTGGTCTTCGCACACCCGGAGGCCGGCGTTCGGGCACTGCGAAGATTGAAGATTGCGGCTTTCAAAGAGCAACGTTGTCAGCGTGCTTCGCATTTGCCATCGCAGGCCAAATACTTCTCGGTTGGCCAGGTCAACGTTGATCAGGTGCAGCCTGGACCTTGGCGCGGCTGACCCGCG